GGGGGGGGGGGGGGGCCGGAAACAGGGTACATGATGTTGTTTGTGTCTGGCTGGCCCGGTGGAGGGCGTGTGTTCATGAGTGACACGGCGGGGGTTGGCGCCCTGCTTGCAGCACTGTCCTGCCGTGTCTTACTCGTCCTTTTATCGCGTTGTTTTTCAACTTGTGCTTGCCTCTGCCAGTGCTGCCTTAGTAAACCCTGTGTCGTGTGTGTTTGTGTGCTTTTGTCTGTGTGTGTCTGTGTGTGCCCTCTGTCGTGTTTTATGGGTGACAAGTAGCTCGTCAGCGTGTGCACGTGTGAGTGTTCGGGTGCAGGAGAGGGGGGTCGACTGATTCATTTCATTTCAAGTACGTTGCGTGTGGTATGATGTGTCATTCAAAATCGTGGTGCAGCAGTTGCAATTACATTGATCTCACGCCCGCCGCACTGCTGTTCGCGAGCAGAGAGGGAGTCGCATGGTCTGTCCGTGCATTTGGGGGGCATTTGGGGCCGATTCCCTTCGCTCAGATCCGTCGTCGCGCAAGTGAGTCGTTTTTCTTCTTTGGTCGACGTCATTCTTACCTCTACCACGGTATAGAAGCATCGCCCCCAGGTTGGAGAGGGATAGAAAGGCATTTCGTGTCCAACGAGGAGCGACATGACGGGTAGACATGACTCCAGGCGAACGATGTATGTACTATGCACTTGCTGCAGGCATGTCAGAACAGCCCGACAATCCCGACTATCCCGAGGCCCTCTCACCGACGGCATCATCCGCCCTGACTGATTTGCGGCGGGAGGACCAGATTGCGCAGCTCAGCGAACAAGTGGGGCTGCTCAAAGGACGATTGGAGGGCCTGAGAGAGGAAAGAGAGCGGCTCCGCAAGGAGATTCAGCAGCTCCGCGCTGGCGGCTCGGCCCCTTCTTCTGGCATTCACACCAAGATGTACAAGCCAACTGGGGGTAAGGCAGGCAAGTACGAGGGTGAGCTCGACAGCAACGGCTTCCCAGATGGCCTGGGTGTGCTCAAGAATATGGGCGACGGCGCTCTGCTCTACGAAGGCTCCTGGCAGGCGGGCAAGTTCCACGGCTTGGGCACTAAATTCTTCGATGACGACCCCTCCAAGATGGAGTACACGGGCTGGTGGAAAGACGGCAAACGAGACGGCGTCGGCAAATCATTCCTCCGCAGCGGCGCGATGGAATACTACGGAGAGTGGGAGGCTGACGAATACCATGGACACGGCACCAAATATCACAGGGGGCGGCGTTCAGAAAGAGTACGAGGGGCAATGGCAGCAAGGGATGTATCACGGCGAAGGCATTATGTACAATGCCTCTGGGCGAGGGACACATAGAGGCCCATGGACCAATGGGCATAGGTCAGCCGAGATTGAAAGCTTCATGTGTATTGGACTCATTTTGTTGCGGTCAGAACCGCCACGATGGCAACTCAGCAGCAGCAGCAGCGGCAGCGGCAGCAATCACAACCATACGAACAAACCTCTCATCAAACGAACACGGGCAAAGAAAACAATCCCCAGGTGTTCTTCGACATCAGCATTGGCGGCGCGCCCGCAGGACGTATCACATTCGAGGTCAGCATATGCGTGTACGGCGCGTGAGAGAGAGAACGGGATTTCCATGCTGTCACGCATTGAGGCGGCTTGGAAGACGTGCTCATATGCGCGTCGTCGTGTCTGGAATGTGCTGCAGTTGTTTGCCCACAAGGTGCCCATAACTGCCGAGAATTTCCGTGCGTTGTGCACGGGCGAGAGAAGCAGCAAAGGCAAACCCCTACACTACAAGTGAGACGACACGAGAGCAGATACAGGCATCAATGTGTGTGTGTGTGTGTGTATGTGTGTGTATGTGTGTGTGTGTGTGTGTGTGTGTGGACATGTAGGGGTTGCACATTCCACCGCATCATCCCCATGTTCATGTGTCAAGGTATGCACGAATCTATGCATGCACCCACGCTCGGTGTGAATGTGTGTGTATGTGTAATCCTTCATTTGTGTTCAGGTGGTGATATCACAGCCGGCAACGGCACTGGTGGCGAGAGCATCTACGGCGACAAGTTTGCTGACGAGGACTTCTCATTCAAGCACACCGAGCCGTACCTCCTCTCCATGGCCAATTCCGGTGGATTCCGACACACACGGCTCAACGGAGACGTACGTGACTGAACCGACACACCCCGTGTCGTACATGTGTGCAGGTCCGAACACGAATGGAAGTCAGTTCTTCATCACGACGGTGTCCACTCCCTGGCTCGACGGCAAGCACGTCGTCTTCGGCAAGGTACACACATGACAACTGTGCTCACCGTCATCTGTGTCTGTCATGCAGGTACTTGACGGGGCCAATGTGGTGAAAGCGATGGAAGCCCAGAGCAGTCAGG